AGTGCTACTGGAGACACCGCCAGCACCGCTTCCTCGCTCCCAGCCGCGGATCCCCCTCCGTGATCGTCGTAGTCCCCGAAGAGAGCGTCGAGAAGCTACTCAACCGTATCACCGACGCCAGAATCACCGTCGTGAGGCTGCCTCTCCGTCGCTGAACCCTCAAGGGCTGATGAGGACCAGCCCAAGGTCGTCACCACCATCACGTGCGCGTGAAAGGCGCTATCGGGACCGCTTCTTACCAGCAGACTGGCCGGTACGCGTCGCTCATCTCCGTGCTCAGTACAAACCAACCGGGTTGGTATTCCCAGCAGTGCCCCATTATGGCTGGTGCGACTGCTCGGAGCCATGCCGTGTCGGGGCGTGCAGGAACTCGCTGATGCAGCTTTACTGTACCCCAAGCTGCTGTCCATACGACGCCAAGTGCGGAAACAGTCTGGAGGAATCGACCAAAGTGTACTTGGCGAGAAACACGCGTACGCTCCAGTTGTCTGTGGTCGCTGTTGAGGACATTGATGCGGGTGAGGTGTTGGGCCAGTACTTAGGCGAGTTCGAGCACGTCAGTGTGGATCCAGCGCGTCGGCCACGGAACGAAGGATTCCGGTTGATGATGACCCAACGGCCAGAGAGGCCAAGCCAACCCAATTCGTGTCGCCGTCAACGCTGCTGAAATGGGTGGATTGATGCGTTTCGTGAACCACTCGTGTTCACCGGTCGCTCAGTTCGTCGAGGTCGCGAACGGGCGCCGCACCACGGTTATTGTCGCCACTACCGAGGTCGTGCGCGAAGGAGAGGAGATCACCGTTGACTACGGCGGTGATCTTTGGTTCGTGTGCCGCTGTGGACTCCCATCTTGTCGTCATCATGAGATCCAGGACCAGCGCGATCCGTAGGCGGCGTGCGGTCAGCAGACGTGATGGGTGTAGGTAACCCGTGCATACAAAACTGGTGTAAATACATGTTCTCATCTTTGAAATGCTACTTTTACGTTGAAGTGAAGCTGGCCCCTCCTCCTGTCGAAGTTGCCGTCAACGTTGAAGCTCAGTGAGCACTAGTTTCGCGTCAAACGCGACCTTACTTTCGGTAAGTGAAGCTTTTGGCTCTTGTTAGCGCGCGCTCGTTTATGCGCGAAGTGGTGTTGTAGTTAGCTAACTGACGAGCTACTGGTTGTACAGCGGTCTAGGGCGCGCTGCTGCAGCGCGCCTTCGGAAGCACAGCAATCGACGTCCCCAGAGCTCTCATTCTCGGTTCTACTCCCAACTGAGCAACCCCAAGCCCCGTTCCCGACCAAGTCTTCGTCTTCGACCCCCTCCTGCGCTCTCTCCGCCCCGGTACGCTGTCACAGTCGCCATTGCTTTCTCTTCTTTGTACTGACGTCTCATGAATTGCTGTTTCTTTCATGGTAGATGGCTAAACTAACAGGAAGCACTAACTACAAGTTCACTGAAGTGCAACGCCTGCTGAGTCTTGTTGCCAAGTTCTTACCTCTTGGCAAAGACGAGTGGGAGCGTCTTGCCAGCTCGTACAACTCGAACCGCGGTCGTGGCATCGCTGAGCAAGACTACGAGAGTCTCCGGCGCAAATTCAAGATGCTGTACAGTACTCGTAAACCCACGGGAGTCGCTTATATGCCTCCCCACGTGAAGTAGGCCAAAGAGATCAAGCAAAGTATCGACGATAAGGCCAGTGTTGAGGAGATGGACGACGGAGCCGACGTTGATGCTCAAGAGGAGGAAGAGGGTGAGAGCCCACAGATCTTTGTTTTGACTTCGAAGGTGATACGACCGGTTCCGCCTGCTGTAGCAACTCCAACACTGAATCACCTCGCAATGAGGGGACCAGCATGTTGCCCAACCTGACACCATCGACGGAACCACCAACTTCGACGAGCTACTCGAATCGGCCGCTGTTCACGAAGGGTTAGAGGCATTTGCTAGCACCCCCAGGCCACCCCCAGGCCACCACCCGGATCCGACGGATCCACTCAACGCCAACTTCGTTCCGCTGGCCTGTCCAAACCCTACCATTCGCAAATCTTACACGTGGAGGAACCGGAGAAGAGCTCTGTAGGCCGTTCTCGTCGTACTGCGGAGTCGAAGGGCTATATCAGTACCCCAAACCGACTTGGAGGGGGCAATCTGGCTGCGTTTCGTGAAACCATTGACCGCAAACGAGGTGCCGATGATGACGACGATCTTCACGAGGCAAGTTACGCCAAGGTGAAGCGAGTGAAGGCCACGAAGGCGGCTGTACATCTGAAGAAACGGTAGAGCGACTTGGAAAACACGTCCGGGGCCATGGGAATCAACATTGTCGAGCTGATGATCCTTATGCGTGAGGATACCGAGCGCAGGGATGAAGTTCGCCGTGCTGAGGAAGAGCAGCGTCGCTGTGACGACATTTTGGCGCGCGAGATGCGTTACAACGCCGAGAAGAAGAAGGCTGAAGAGCGACGTCGCCAGGAGAAGTTGGAGACGGAGGAGCGATCCCGTCGTGACAAAGAGGAGGCTTGCGCACGCTCCCAGGAACTGATGCCCTTCATTAGTGCACTCGTGAAGAAGGAGTAAAGAAAACAG